ATGAGCTTGACATCTGATTATGAAATACAGTTGTAACAAAGGAATTACAACTGTAGAATTGGTGTAACTATATGTATGGTTACAAAGCAGGAGTGTAGCATGTGGCAGTAGGACTAACTGGGCTATATTCTCTCTGCAGAAGTATATCCTGCGGTATTTTAAGCCGGTGATTGACAGGCAGACCTGGAGTGATGAGGGCTCTATTTCTGACAGAATGCTTCGTTCTGATCTCCTGCTACTCGCCTGTGATCTGCGCTATTCTCCCTGTATCCAGAAGGCAAATGAGCTTTTCAGCCAGTGGATGGGATCTGGTGGAAATTTAGAGTAAATGGCTTGCGTACTTTCTTTCATTTAGGCTTTTTTTTAACCAAATGTTTAGTTTTCTTTTCTACCACAGGCTTTTACAGGATGGTTAAATAGGAAACCTTTTGCTATCTGAAATGGAAAAAGGAATGAATAATCTTGTATTCTAGTGTGACTAACAGTGTATTAGATTGGAAAATAAGTTTGTTAATATGAAAAGCTATCCAACTCTTTTTCTTCTTTCTACTAATTTACTTATTAGGCTTGATTTCCTGCTTTTCCAGTGCAGGGCATATTATAGTTATTGGCCACTGCTTGAAAAAGCCACATGCATTTACTGTCATTACAAGAAAAATTAAATTTAAAAGTCAGTTGTGGCTGTCCAGCCTATTCCCACATGGCTAGTATCCCAATGCTAGGAGACACTCTTCCAGGACAAAAGTCCTCTGTACCACTATTTTTCTCAAAACGCTATCCAGATGGCAGCCTTCGCAATCTCTTTGGGCCACAGCAAAGGACATGGACATGGCTCTAGAATCTCCTGTAATGGGACCTATCTTTAAAGCCCATTGTTCATCTAGTCTCACCAGATTACTGCCCTGCCTCACCTGCCATGCCTGGCTGGTAAATTTGTATAAATCTGGGTGGCTGGCCTCAGAAGAGCAGAGTGTGGCCTTGATCTGGGCCAGAATGAACTCCAGGCCAGGACTCCAGCCCCCGACTCCAGCTCCTTCCAGTTACTTGACTCTTTTTCCTCATAACTGGGCATAGGTGTTGGTAATTATCTAACCAGTGGCCTGGCATTCTGTTGCTTGGGGTTTGCAGACTGGGGCCATTCAGCCCTTTTTCTCTGTTGCTTGAACCCACTGCACTTCACAGCCTCATAGCAATGCTGCTCTGAGTAATATGGGTTAGAGGTCCCGTTACACTCCTTGCGCACTTTGGAGAATAAGGGCATTTTTACACATACTCTGGAGGTGTGGGGGGTGTGCTTCAATTAGTGAGCCACGCTAATTAAAAGCACCTGAGCATCACGGGTATCAGCATTCTGAAAAATGGTGGTGGGGCGCTTTGAACTAAAGCTCACCAAATGAGTTTTAGTTCAAAGCACCTGCTGCCATTTTTCAGCATAGGGATGCTGATACACTTGACCCTTAAGTCTGCTGTGGCACGTTAATTTCTGCACTGTAGCAGACTCGATTAATTCAATACTCTCCAACATGCTCGATTTCCAGTGCACTGGAGCCGGCTCCCTGCACATGTATAGGAGCCTGTAAGCTCAGTAGTGACATCAGTCTCAAATAGTAGCGTAGGAACTCAGGCGGGTGCATGGGGCACAGGGACGGTAGGGATTTCCAGTTGCTGCTGCAATCGTGTAGCTGCCAGCAGCATCCACTTTTTTCAGACCCTCCTCCCCCCAGCTCAGTGCCCGGGGTGGTTGCCCCATTGGCTCCACCTTAATTACACCACTGGTCTTCCATATACATATACATAATGGAATATAACGTCCAGCATAGTTCTCAACCCATTAAGTGTAATGCAAATGGGACTGTCTTTGTGTAGCTTTCCAGGGTTATTTTTTTATGTTTGAATTTACTGCAGTATTTAGAAGGAAAAATATCAGTAATATGGTAAATGTAACAACTAAATCTACAGTCTAGGAATTACATAAATATATGCCTGGCTAATATAGCATGACATTTACCCGTACCAGTAGAAGAAATTCCTTTCCCTACCTCCCTTTGCATCAGTGCATAACTAATTTGCACTATGATGACTGATGAAGAAAATATTCATAATATTACACTTGTCAATTCAAAGAAATACCTTTCCCTGTTTTAGTAGGTGAACAGACTTTTGTCTGGCGGGTGAGTGCATAGATAGATGAATCAATAACTTGTTTAACATTTATTTACATTATTTGCTTTGGGATAGTCTATATTTTGCCCCGGTTGTTACATATGATGAACTGTAATAATATTCCGCAAGACCAGAGTGTTGATGCAGTGTTTCAAACAGCAGAGAGGTTTATTTTTTTGCACCTTGATTATTTTTCAAACTAGATTCATTTCTATTATTCCTTATTTTGTAACTATGGTAGTTTCTGACTAGTGGTCCTTGTACATGATCTATAGTATTTGGAATCAAAGTATTATTATTGACCTTTTTCAATTCCCAGACTCTGCTAGTCACTGTCTTTAAATAGTGCACCATAACATTTCCAGTCCCTCTTAAATGATGCATGTCTTCTCACATGTTTATAGATCATTCATCACTCTGCTGAAGAACTGGTGTACTGTTCCTCCTCCCACATGATATCACGCACTTGTTAACAAACCAGGAAGTTCTAGCCTGAGTTCTTATTCTAGCTACTCAAAGTCACACAAGCAGTGACTGGAAGGGTTTGCTCCCCGTGACTGGGTCCAAGAAAGACAAGTTAGGGACATGGTAGAAAGTTGAAGATTAAATAATCTGGGACTTCTTGAGTAAAGAGTGGGCTTCTAGCTGCTTGAAACTGCAGCAAGCATGAGGGATTCAGCTTATTCTTTTATCACTGTATTTGAACTGACCTTCTCAGCTTCTGAAGCTCCTAGATTCCATTTAGCTTTGCTGTTTTCTGGTTATATCTAGATTCACAGAGTAAAAGTAAAAAGCACATTTCTGCTTTTTAAAAAATGACACTAGGTGGCAACAAGGCTCGACTGAAGAAGTGTGAAATATTCATAGTGCCATTTAAAATTCTCAAAATTCTGTACATTTTCTTATCTTTCTGCAAAATCCATATTAAATCAATTTCATGGAAACTCTTTGCAATGTGTCAGAGAACACTTCTAATTTTGGCCCAGTTGTTTTCATGAAGTAAATATGAAGTGTTCTGACTTTGTTACCATAATTTCTGGTGCATGCAAAACAAAATGCTAGACAAATGGCACAGAACTAGAATTGACCATGTAGTGTCAGGGCATCTGACATGTGAAACATATGGAAAATCATTATATACTATAAATACATCGAATATGTCTGTGAGAGACTATAGTATTGCACATCTGCGAAGGCACTAAGAAGTCTAAAATCATCTGACCCTCCTTCTCTTTCCCTACCTTTGTTTAATGCCACAGCCTTCCAACAGATCTTTTAAAGACAGTTTACTCAGTTGGAGCACAAACGGGAGCAGGATGGAATTATCTACTGAAGCAGTATAGTCTATCTGTTTCGGATGCAGAAAAGAACAAAATCCTCTATGCTTTGACCACAAGCAGGCATCATGAAAAACTGGCAAAGTAAGAATTGTCTTTGTTGAATTATTTTAAACAAAACAGTACCACATTTCTTCTCCAAGGAGCTGTGAAAGCATGACAATCTCCAACAGCAGCTTGGTAACACATTTCAAATGTGGAATTCTATTTTTATTTACTTCATCATTTTCCTAAATAATTTATTAATGAGCTGACACTCCAAGAGAACTTGGCCTGATGTTGATAATCCACAGGACCATCATGCAACAAAGAGATTACAAACTTTTATAGTTCAATTCTGATAAGCAGTCACATAGATCTGACCCCTGTTTATGTTCAGAGTCAGGTCTTGTTAATTAGGTGACTCAAAAAAGTTTCCATTAGCACTTTAGAACCAATACTCCTCCAAGAGAGAAGCTGGATTTTGTTCTGGATTTTATATCATTAGTAGATTGCAGACTACAAGAATCTTAACTGGGGACAAATAACCCCAAGACGCTAGCATGTTTTTCACATTCCATGTTCAGCTTGCAGGATCTGTAGTTAAAGCAAAAGAAAATATAAATCAAATTATCTGTACACTCTACAAATTTTATATCAAAATCACTGAGCAGCAACAGTTCTGGAATCATCTTTTGAAAAATAGTAGTGGCTCATGTTAAGTGGTCATTGTGGGCCCTGACATAACACAATGTATTATGCAAATTACTGCATTGGAATCATGAAGAATTTTTCCTAAAAAGCAGTAGTAATATATGAAAAATGCTGTAGCAGCACCCAATTAAAACAGACTTAAAAACTGATATATTTCAAGCACTGAACTGTTGTCTGTTTTATCTCTCCTGCTTCTCTTTTATTAGTAGTACTTTTGTTGGAAGGAAATGTGTATTGAGTGGTGGTCTAACAGTCTCTGCTACCGGCAGACTAGAAACAGACTGAAACTGCCTGTTTTCATTTCTGCAGGCTAATTACTCTAGGCATGGAAGGTGAAGTTATCAAGACTCAGAATCTGGCAATTCTTCTTCATGCTATAGCCAGGAACCCAGAGGGACAGAGACTTGCCTGGAATTTTGTCAGAGAAAACTGGAAAAAGCTTCTTGAAAAGTTGGTATCTGCTTGTCTACTTCAGCCGCCATTATTGGCAACTGCCTTCAAATAACGATAAAGAAGGATCACTATTCTACTGTTGAAATGGAATACATTTTTATATTCCATTTCAATACTTTTACAGAAGAAGGCCCCCAAATGCTGTTTTTTACCACTAGAGAACTAACTTTCAAAGTCCTAAGGAGATAAATCTAGATACATTATTTAATCAATTAGCTTTGGATGCTGAAAACATCCTAAGCTGTTTTGATTTTGATGGCCTGTCCTTTAATGTAAGTGATCTGTATCTATAAGAAAGCACAAAAACCCATGAACCTCCAAGATAGAAACTATGGTCAACATTCCCCTCTTAATTCCGCACTAGGACCCTTAAATGAAAGAGGCCTGATTTTTAGAGGTGGTGAGCTTTCATATAAATCCTATTCAGGTTAAAGGAAGCTGTGGGAACTCAGTTTCTTTGAAGATGAGGCTACTTTGCTTTAGCTACCCAAATCTAGCCCTTGTGGCTCATGGGGTTCATATTTTAAGAAATCCCATCTTCATTATGCATCTACATCTCTTATTCACTTGTAACCAGTATTAACTATCCGAATGAATGTAAGGTGTTGTCTTCCTGTATTCTACTTGTGGTAGGAGGTGAAGAATGTGGGAAGAAGGGGTGACTACTGTCTGCCTTCACCACAGAGGAAGCATGTGTTCTGTGCTTGTAGCATGCCCAGTCTTTGTATCCCTGCAAGAAGCTGAATAGAGACATTCTGAAAAACTAAGTTGTTTCTGTTATTCTTCAGAGAATTGGAAAAAGGTTAAAACAACGTAAAAAGTGAAAAGCAAATTAGGTTTAAAAATGTTTTTGGTTTAGTAGTCTCCTGTGTTATTTGTGGGCTCGGTAAGGCTGCGGATTTTTTTAAATTTGACTGTGTTGCTCTAATTTAAACAAAAATACTTATTAGAAAAAAGATAATAAAAACACCATAGAATGTAGTTCTGTTATTGTGTGTGGTTTGTATTATTACTGTTTATTTTTCCCTTCCTTGTTTACAGGTTTGAATTAGCTTCTTTCTCCATTCGAACTATTATCTCTGGCACTACATCCCACTTTTCATCCAGAGATGAACTAGAAGAGGTTTGTAGCTTTTATTAAAACCTATTGTGAATGTATACATTCCTTTGTCTTCAGTTTACAAATAAAAAGGCTTAACTGCCCAGAACAGCCGTCAAAGGACAGTGATCTTTCAATAGTTCAGTGATGAGATATTAATAAGGAAAGAAGAATTAAAGATTTGGAAATCATTTTAATAACTTGAAAAGGTTGATAGTAATCATTGCAAAATAGTTTATTATGTGTGATAATTTTTAAAGCCCCGTAAGTGCATTATTTTTGACAGGTCAATCTTGCATTTTATAATATATATCCTTTTTTGTTAGTATGGGAAGAGACTAATACTTCTGTTATTCATTTAGGCTGCTTACAGACATGACACCCCCGCCCCCCATTGCCCCCGCAAAACACTGCTTTACTTTAAGCTCGGCACACCCTTGCACCAAGTGCAGTGCATGCTCAGAAGAGGCTTCATGTTAGTTTGACCTGGCTCGCCCAGTGTCTGTATAGGTCAGGTGCTTTAGCGGGGCTTTTTGGTGCTTTTATCTAAAGCTGATTCAACTTTAGTTATTTTATTCAATGTTATTTTACTCTTTGAGGGTACTTGACTGAAGGAGGGAGGGGATTGCTGGAAAAGCCTGGTGTATGATACCTCTGAGTTTCTTAGAGTCACAATCAGTGTGACCAACTTTGGCCTTTCTAATTCCTGCTATTTGGCCTATGTTTTCCTAAGAGCTGTTTAAATGCAGGGAAAATTTGACCTCAGACACTAATGACTATCATCTTTTTCAGGTGAAGATCTTCTTTAAGTCTCTAAATAATCAAGGATCACAGCTAAAAATCACTCGAGTTGTGCTGGAAACCATAACAAAGAATATTAGATGGCTGGAGAAGAATCTCAGCAGTTTAAGAAACTGGCTTCTCAATAATCTTTAGGGTTTGACATGAATATGAGATGATGAGTACATGTCTAGTCTACTAGCACCCTCCAAACTAAAGGGGATTTCAGTTTGGGTTAAATGTTTCTTTTCCCTCCCACTGGTGAGTTGCATTTGAATACAGTATGAATTTGAATAGATATATTTGATCCTCATTCTATTGTGCTATATAGATAGCAGAGTTGACAAAATGAAATGTCTGTGCTACAAAGCTGAAGAAAAATGGGAAAATTTTCAATAATCCAAATTGTGAAGGAGTGTTTGGAAACCTGATCTGTTGAGGGGAGCGCCTGTGAATTGCTTCAGTCATTTGTCATAGATCAATGCTGTAAACAGCCGTTTGATTACAAACCCTGTTTAGCATGGCTACATGGATAGAGAACATATATATTTTTTCCTGCTCTTTTGTCCTGTTGTGCATACACATTATTATTTTGATCTCTTATGGCTTCTGGCCACAGGAAAAATGAGTAATCTACTTGTTAAAATTCTCCCTCTCTTTTTCTGAGCTTAAGTTAAAAGATCTAATTGGGAAGCCTGAGGAATTTAGAAAATAAGATAAATATGGCACTTTTCCTAGACGGAGGGGCTATGGAGTCTGTTAAACAGAAGTTATGAGATGTGACATTTTTTCTTGGCTCTATCAATGACCTGCTGTATTACTTTTTGGGTGACTCACAAACATCACATCTTCTGTCTGTTTTATCTAGTCAGCAGATATCACTGTATAACTGTACAGAGTTCAGAGTGGTCCTAATCTCGATTGGATATCTGTAGCCATTACTAAATTTATTAATAATAGA